CTTTTAACATGAGCTCAATGGACTCTGGCATGGTTTTAGAGAGTTCAAGTGGGTATTAGTTGTTGCGCGTAGTTTTCGTGATCCGAAACAACGAGGGATTGGGCATAAGCTGGGGTAGTAGCAAGAGACAAACAAACTATGAAACTAAGTGTCTCCTCTCAAGGGTTTTCTCTGATTCGGGCATTGCTCAGAACCTTCTTCAGCGATACACTTTGGTCCTCCGAATTGGGCTGGGTCACACGTTTCGATGCGAATGCATGCCCTACAGAAGGAAACAAATTCTAGTCAAACACTACCAGCGATTAAACATTGCGATAAACACGCGCTAGTTGATCAGGGCGTAAAATCTGTCGCTTGTGTCTTCCTCAGCCACGCCAATAGGTAGTCCTGTTCTCTCGAAAAAAACTGTCTACTAATATTTCGAAACAAGTAGGGTCTTAGTTGTAGTAGGTCTAACGCAACTACGCGAACTCTCTGTAGGACCGAAACAATCATGAGAGAACAATATTGTCCATATACACACATTAGTTTTTTGTAGACTCGTCAAATTCGTCGACTAAAGGGCTATCTGTAATTGAGGACGAACCATTGACTCTCCTCTGGATCAATCAAACAGTATCGTTTTTACTTTATATCTGCTGGAGTACTAAATAGCAATGGTGTTAACTTTTGCTACCTAAATTTTTAAATAAAAAATACGTTTCCGTGTTTCAGAAAAACTATGCACGGCCTCACTCATATCAAAATCTGTTCTACCAAACTGAATAACCTATCAACCTGTTCTAGATAATACAGAACCACTGAGCGGGTTCGCGTAGCAGATTACGACGAGGTTTGACAGTAACTACCCTAGGTTGTATTGTCCTTCATCCTAAAAATCACCTTGAAAACTGCCGCGAAATATTGCTAGCAGATCTTCCTCGCAGCAGGACCTGTTTTTATTTATGTTATTGCACTAGAGATTCAAAAAGGCCTCTACCAAAACGACGAGTGGCCATTTCGTAGAACTATAACGTAGCTGATGGAGCGAGGCAATTTTTGGGAAAACACTTGAGCCAGCCAAATAATGTTGCCAACCAATTCATAGCAGCTTCCACTCCCTCTAATGATTTATCGTAGCAAGTACACCCCCTAGGAGGTTGGAGGCGAATGAACCGGGGGCAGACAAACAAATTGTTGGTCATTTCAGTAACGATGGCTGGGCTCGTTACTTGGCCATTATCTACCCACTAGTCCTCGAGAACGAAGTTTGAATCTTCTCTCTGAAATTTTCGCGAAATCACCAATAATTTAACTCATAACACCCTCCTTATCGACGCGCATTTTATAAACTAATAAGGCCTGTACACACAAATACATACACGTAAAGTTTACAGCACACACCTATAATTTCCGTACCTGTGGTCGAATATATCGAATACGCCAATCTGCATCAGCTATCATGGTTCTGCTGGACTTGAGAAGTCGTCTTCTTCAATGGATCTTACTAATTTCCATACTACCATCATTACAGACCCAAGTCAGATAAGACCTCGAGTCGAGTGTTGGTCTAATAACTTTCCTATCCTATCTCTCTTAGGGTGCACGCGGAGCTCTTCACAGGACGACGTAGGGTTTTTACATAGCTATTATCTCGTTGCAGCTTGCAGTCTTGTGCACCTAACTACTATAGATATTATGTTGTGTACATTGTTAACCAGACGCAGGTCGCTTCAAATGAAGTAAAGCCGGTTGCGGACGGTCATCGCCGTCCGTCGGTTTATGCTGTTACCGATTCTCTAGCACGCTAACAATGTACGAGCGAGCGAAGAGCCCAACCTAAACTTATGGCACGCCTTGAGCATGGTTATCAATTCTCAATAGTTCAATAATGAACTCATTGCGGGTGTGGCTCGTGCATCTTGTACCGACCACAGGTCTCTGAGCTATCCCAGGTGACCAGTAAATCGATACCATAGACCTAATATCAACAGAGATTTAGTTCAAGTGGGATTAATTGATTATTTTTCTAAACTCAATTTCCATGAAACGATTAGTAAATCTATAATTGTCACAAACTATTAACCCTAAAACATTAATATTTGATTTAATAGGATTAAGTTACCTTTGAACTGAAGATGGCCCTAACCAGTAGCTTCTACCAGCCTTTACTACTGTTAGATAAAAGAAGACTTGATTGAAGAAAGAACTGATTTGGAGTGGACCTTAAGAGAGAGGAATTGAAAAATAACTGATAGTTTCCTCGGCCCGACCATTCGACGCGAGTTCTACACTCGGCCTAGTTAAGATGGACAGTGCTGTTTATAGTCTATAGAAAGATACTCTGGAACGACTAGGAATTTATACAATCAATGCTCGCGTAGAGCGGCCAATCTTGATATCAGCCCATCCCAAGAGATGTCCAGACGCCAATGAGTGTTCCGTCACTAATTACAAAAGTCAGTCTCTTTTCTTCTAATGTATTCCACACTTCCTGTCCCAAATCCCTTCGGAACACTCACAAATTTCATATCATCAGTGCACGTGCAACACGTTATCTTAGTAAATAACTTGGTTATACCGGTTTTGCCTATGTACATACGTACACAGTGACATGTCTTTTTTCACCGTGTTACAGTGTAGCAATTATACTATCCATACCCCGTATAGCGTGTACCAGTTAACTCTAATATAGCTGTCCACTTAATGGCAGTACGACTGTTTCTGCTCTTCGCAATGTAGTTGTGCTAGCGTGTACACTCTCCCGTGTCCTTTGATCACAATAGGTCAGCGGCTTCGTAAAGAGCACAAAGTGGATATTTTGGCAGAGGGACAGAATTTGGTAAGACTAATTAATATACACGATTAAAGAACGCCACAGTTTTGTTGGAAGTGCTGAGAAAGGCCTAGTTTCAGTCCCGACCATCCAATGGTAGGCCTCAAAGGGATGAAGTAGGGAGGGAATATTGGGGATAGTCCCACCTTTCACAGCTTGAACTTGAGTATGGATGTGTATGTATCTACTGGCCTGTGCGGCACTTGTACCCTATTCATGACTGACCAGCATCATAGACAGGAATGTTCGCATTTTGAGGGTCGTCATTGTGTGTCAGTGCGTGACGCAATTAAGGCTTTAAATTGATTTTGTTTCTTTGATTGTACAGATTTATTGCCTGTATTAACAAATAATATTTGCTGTCCTATAGTGTTAGATTCGGCTATGTATCTCGTTTTGTTGTATTTGGAATTATCGATCATGCACTTCAGTTTAAAGGGGTGTCTTGTCGAACTAACAGTGCAATAATTTATATATTTTTCAGAACACAGAAAAAATCGAATGTTCTACTCAAATACATCTAATTTTTTAATCGAATTTCTTTATCCTTCGTTATTGAGAACACTGAGCAATACGATGATAAATCTGAAATAAGAAAAAGGAGCAGATTACGCCAGAGGAATTGTAGTAAATCAAAAAAAATGTACTGACGCTTTTCTTAGAGAAGGACTAATTATTTCGTGCACAGATGGTGTGGATATTTGTAAACAATAATCGAGAAGTATCAATTGTCAGTGAAACTGATAAGTCTCCTTCTTGCGGTTAGTCATAGCCTGAAACGATCGGATGACACATTTTTTGACCGCGTAAGCCTATTAACCATCTCTACACTATCAACATTTTGCTGTTCGATACCCTATATCCCTATAGATGCTTACCTCTTCTTTCTCATAAAAGATATCTGTACTGACTCTGTATGTATCCATTGCTCCCTATTGCTTTGCCGTCCCATCGTCGCCCCTTTTTTACTTTAGGATCGGCTACTGGTGGCTTTCTCGAGCGCCCTCTAGCGATACTATGCTGCCACCACAGTCGGACTAACCTCACCCAAAAACCAGTCCTTCTCTCGTCTTAACCGCTATGTGGGGTCTCCTCCACAAAAAGCAGAACTTACCGCTCGTTCAACCCCTAAAACACCCCCCGATTTTTTCGGGCCAACCCTCGACATAGCTCTGAATAGACACCCAGTCCTCGACTCAACAGTCACTCTCACCGCTCTATTCCTACCAAACTGCTCTTCGCTTCCATTTCGTTCGGATTCCGTCTTCCCTCTCTCTTTTTGTCTTCCTTTATCCCACATTCAGCTCTACCTGACGAAGACAAGGAGAAAGAGAATGCTAAAACCAGCGAGAATCTCCCCTTTTTTCTATGTGCCTTTGCCGTGGAACCGGAGGCTACCTAGTACGCGCATACTTTGAGACCTCGTACCGCGCGAGAGGATGCCGGAGAACGAGAGGCCGAGAGAAACAACACACGCTTCACGCAAGTCTCCCGGAGGCCATAACAACAGGAGTAGCCACGGGACCATAGCAGCACGTCGCTATGGATGAAAATGTTTGCTATCAAGCGGCCGGCCACGAGCCGACCAAGCCGTTCGAGCTATGCTCACTACTCGAAGCAGCTGGCAGCTTAAAGCTACTAACAGTAGCATGATAGTGAGCTCTGTGAGTCCACCCAACTGGGTGGACTCGACAGAGGTGAGTCTCGAGCGCTAGGCGGGCACTACAAACTGTTGTATGGATCGACGGTGCCAGCTATAGAGGTTGGATCGGCTGGTGCAGTGTATACTCGCCGGAGCACTTTTGCCTATCACTGCACGAATCTATTAAGTGGTACAAGGCATGCAGCGCCATCTGGGTCGTTACCTTGGAAACTCGAAGCGGGTGCCACTTATTGGGATTGCTGTCATTGCTTCCGAGCGCCGCTGTTCGTTGGGCACTTTTCTGCCGCTAATCCATGCGGCAGATTGGGTAGACTGGCATCGGTAGCAGTTAACGCGAGGTGGAACGCGCGGGTTTAATACAGCTGAGACTGAGGCAATGTCTGAGACTGCCGGCGACCCAGCGAAAGACGAAGAGCTAAGGGCGAGAGCAGCCAATAGGCGCTCCGATAACCGGAGTCAGAGACAACCCCCCACAGCCTCCAACGGCGAGCGGAGCTCTGACCGACTACCCTGGTACTGGAATCCCTCCTTATACCCTCTCCCAGGTCGGCTTCCTCCTTTCCCATACGAAGACACAATTCCCCGTCGCTATAAAAGGCGCACGCACGTGCGGGCTTTAGTAAGAAAACGATCGACAAAGGATGTGTGAACTTGTGCTTACCCAACAACTTCGACAACGGCCTCGACGATCACTACTACAGCTAGAGCCATTAGTGGAACTACAACTACGGAAACGTTACGCCGGCGACTATAACCGAGGACTAAAACGATCTAACATAAGAACAAAAAACGTTTGTAGCTGTTCTAGTGCGCAAAGGATGTTTGTGAGCCTAGAAGTGTCTACCGCTAGCACGGAGATGTGCCACGGCAAAGAAAACCATTCTATCTCCGGAACTGTGTCAGAACTGGAGCATTGTAGCACTGGTACGTATGCATATTATAATAAGATTTTTTAGCGTACTATTTTATCATGCAAAGACATTTGTGTTTGGTAAAAAGCTAAACCATGTTCGTTCAGATTTTTTTCTCGATAAATTGCACGCTTCGAAGCATAGCACCCCAAGTTGTGTAGTTTACTTCTACTGTGCTCTATACATTTTCTACCAAAAAAACAGAAGATCGCTATTCTTTATGCTTAATTTAAAATACTGCATACTTTTTTTGCCGCCTATATTTTTTTCAAACATTTGAAAATACCCCAGATTTATTTTCCTCACATAGATCTTACTGTAGAAATTTATTGTTGCCTCAACTTTGCCACTTGTCTCACAGATGATGTTTCCACGGCACCGCTAAAATTGTGTGATTTTGCGATCGCACTCTTCGACCAATTAAAATTAGCATTTGGTCCATATGCACAACTAGTTTTCGCAGCAGTCTCATAATATGTTAAAACCATAATGCCTTCTTACACATTTCGGCAAGCAGCTAGGGCCTGTTAATCCAACTAACACAATCTATTTCAATTGTTTTCCTTCTAATCCTCCAGGCTCATCGTGCTGTTCACATCCAGTTACTTGCTTCATGCCCGACCTGGTTCCATTGTCGGACTGCATCCACCTTCGATGCGTCGAACAGAAAGAGAAATTTACTCAAATTGGAGCAGAACTTCGCGCCATTAGTGACACTTTCGAACGTCACCGTAAACAGAGCCAGCTCAAAAGCAACATGAAACCCTGTCGACTAGTTTCCGACACCGTGAGCCTTGTTCAGGTCCTCCGATCCTTTATACGTGCCTCTGTCATACCTTATCTCCATCTGCTCAGTGGACTCTATTGGGTCTACCCATAGAGACCGATCCTCCACAGATGCCGATCAGTTTTTTGGCCGTGAACCACGTGTGCCTGCGCGCAATTTTCAGTGCAGTGCATCTAGGATGATATGCTACGTCAACCAGAACAACGACAACAATAACAGAGTAAAAACGAATCAGGCCAAACGAGCGTGACGTGTAAATTGAAAATTACATCCCCACCTGCTGTTTGTTTAGGGTATTGGACATACCTCTGCCTGCTACTCAGATGCAAACAGTAAGAACTTATTGACGTCAGCACACCTGGTTTTTAGGTCGGAGGACGCACCAGTCAAGGATCTGTGATAGCCTGAGCTTTGGCAAATGGACAGTAAGGATTTAGCGCAAAAGAGACATGTGGATCTAGGACACGCTGCAAGCACCACAAACAGATGGACAGAGTTTTGTCGTGTGTTCTTTGTGCACAGAGTCGCATGTCGGATTTGTACATATCCATGTACAGCGAACGCTAAGAACGAAGAGAAAAGCTATATTGAGACAAGGCCACGTATCGCGGCCCGGAACTTCGACGCAGAGTTGATACAAAAACGACGTTCAACGAAACTTCACTCATCAGCTGGAAGGGGACATGAAGAGGATATATAAGGCAAGCCCTGATCTGGAAAAAGCGAAGCGTGCCGGAAATCGAAAGAAAGAAAACCTAAGGATAAACGTGAGCAAAGTCGACAGATTCCACAACGACTCAAAAATCGAATTATTTAGGAATAGTGTTAATAGTCAGCTCAAGCGAAAGATGGAAGATATCGCTTAATTTAACCGAAGACTACAGACAGATCTCTTTTTCTACATAGCCACAGGTTAATTTAAAAGGCCAGTTTTAAATATTCATGTTGATTTTATACGAGAACGAGAACGAATAACAATAATAACGAATGCTACCGTAATTTGTCACGTGACGCTTATCTAGAGCAACGACCTGCCATGTTTTTAACGTCGTGGTCTTGAATCGCTTGAGCTTGACATTCGCCATTTACAAACAGTCGACTGATACTTACCTTTTCTAGTGTCGAACACGGAACAATTTCGGTACAACCTTCTTACCTATAAGAACAATGGTTGTGTTTGTATCAAACTTTTATATAGGGATATACATATATCTATATATACATATATATATATATATATATATATATAACAATATATGGACATTGGAAAGGCGCCTTTTTCAGCAAGGATGATTACCGCTCATCGACCTCAGGCAAAGCTAGATGAATGTGTCTACCCAAAGTTATAATAGTACGAAGAGAATCTACCTTGACAAAAATAGTTCAGAAGGTAGATCTATAGCATTTACAGAACGACGCATCATGATCAATAGCTAGAAGCTAAACATGGCACGAAATAACAAGGAAAAATATAATTAAAACAAAATAAAATGCCAATTAATGTCTTTTACATAAGCAACAACTCATCCCTAGATAAATAACGGAACTAATTAACGAGATGAAATTAGCCCGACAGAAGAAGGAAATCGACTAACGTTGCCGAAATTTTTTGCTACGAGCTGTAAAAAATGTACATAGAGAAGAAACAAAGGGTGGGAGAGCGGGATACAGGAACGATTTGTACCAAAGTCATTTTATTTAAAAGTATATAATTTATAAAAGCGTAAAATACAATAAAAATATGTATAATCAGTGAAAATGCTTATCGTACTCATTCATATCTAAACTGGTCACTTTAGCCATTTCGTGACTAAATAATAGTATTTAATTTTATACTATAATATTGTTATTCCCTAGATTTTATCGATTCAGCGACTACATTAGAGATAACGATGCGAGCGTACTAATAAGGCTCCAGCCCCTTTTAACGATAGTCTAATTATACACTATATTTTGTAAGTGATCTTTTTAAATGAAAACACGTCTGTCATTTTAAAAAAATACCTTAATTTTATTTGCTTCTCCTCCCTAAATTCATTATGGTGTTCTTCAACAACAAATGTCACCCCCGATCCTAGACGAGGTTCATAGTTATCGTAATTTAAAGTATCCAAGACCTACCATGAGGGTTTAGTTTTTTACATTCATCATCGATTATCCGAGAACGAAATTGGAAATTCGTATTTAAAAGGTTCGACCTTAGTGAACGAGAGCTCGATATAATGTTCTCACGTTATATTGAGCTCTCGTTGCCTTACTCCAATTGCTTAGCATAGATACACTGATAATAAATATTAGCTTTTCTTCACGTTTAATATGATGATTTTTCAAACTTTTTAAAAAAATGTATGTTTTTTTCTTTACCTTTTTTAATCTTTCAAATATTTAAAAAAAAAACTGTACAGTTTTTGGAAATGTGCGGGTTTTGCGATTACTGCTATAACCGTATGCAAAATCTTCCTTATAACAAAATAATCCCCACCATTATTGATCAAATTGACCGTTTATTATTACACTGCCATCTAGATAGATACAGAAGAAGTGTGGAACTGACTAGTTTCACACAAGTACGAAAAAGATAGGTAACTTCTTTACTATAAAACGTTTATTTAATGTTTATATAGTAAAAATTGATTTTTAGATTTATTAGGCCAGAGGATGTGGCTTAGAGATTTGTCACACTCGAAAAAAATTTTTTAAAAGGAGGAGTAAATTTTTATTTCGGGTTTCTTTACGTTTGGCGCTATTGTTTTAATTGAGCACAGGTTCACACGGCTGGCCGTTTTCAGTGCGAAACGAATTATACTGTACAGCAGGCCCGGCGTTGAATCGAGGGTACCTTACGTGTCCTAAACTTACATATAGACGAATGCGTTACTACTACCCTACCACGAAAACTTCTTGGAAAGTAACTAGACTATTGTAATGTCCACACGCAAGCCGACATCATAATATAACACTGAGCAAATTTTCGTGACTGTTTTTTGTCACCATTGAAATTTGTTCCATCCTCGCTGCCTTCTGACGAAACCCAGAAATAGTTATTACTCTACCAGCCATCACGTTTCAACGAACGAAGATGCATGGAGCATTTTTCTAGCCAATGATAATTACCTATGGTCTACCTACCTAAGTAACCTATGGTCTAATCAGTGAAGCCTTATTCGTTTTTACTCCCTCCCTTTCTCAGCTGATCAGCTTCCGTAATCGTTCGCCGAGTTTCTTTATTGTCTTCAAAGGACCAGTTTCCTATCAGCTTTAGGTTTGCCCGTGGGCCACGCTGTGTCTCAATGAACCATTTGTATTTTATAAGTATCGAAATACTGCGGGACGCCGTGTTAGCGACGATATAGTCCGAGAAGCTTTCTGAGAGGTTCCGGAACTCACTTCTCTTATGCGCCTTCTCCTTGTTCCCTTAGCGGTATTCGTTGCTGCTGAAATTTAATTGCAAGTACGCCACCACATGCCGACGATATCGCGGGTCGACCTGTCTCTCATCTTTGGTTTCATCCGCTAGGCGGGCGGCTGATGTCACTAATTAGATCATATTTCGTAATACATATAGCGCGTACGTGCGCTGCTCCTTGCTCCGTATCAGTCATATAGCCGTAGATGGTGAAGCTCGGCATCAAGCCCGACTTTGGGTTCCGCGTTGCGTCGAGACTGCAAAGGCCTAGGGCCAGAAGCCACTAAGTGCAAGGGGACCGGCCGTCTTTCGCCCTGAAGACTATTTGAGAGCGGGGCTTCTGGGCTTTGGCGAGATAGGTCGCCGACCCAGAATACAGAGAGAGCACATTACAATGTCGTCGATGCAAAAAACTCTCGGAGTTTGCCGAACCCCAGTACTATCTGGTGAGAGATATGGGCAATTCGATTAGTGAAGAATGCGCCGCGTTCGCTGCTACGGTGGTAGTTTCTAACTAGAGACTCTAGCGAAGCTCTATGAAACAGCCGGGATTGTCTTGGTTCGTATATCGCAGACACTACGAAACTCCCGCAGTATGCATATCGCTTGGAGCGGTTGTTGCACGGCTGTCAACTACGGCGTCGACTTGTCTCTTTGACAAGTTAAAAGCGCGACAAAGCTCGGTCGCTTTAGTGGAAGGAGCTGGTAGAGATTTGGGTACGACTCGAACATGCATAAAAGGGAATCTAATAAAGAGAAAGTGAAGGAAAGTTCACTGGTAAAGAAAGACTGGAGCAAGAGGTTATCAGTTCGGTATCATCTTTGCTAGCAGTTGTCCCGACAAGCAGAACTGAAACAGATCGAACGTATAACAAAAAAACAGGGTAGGCAAGGAAATTACTGTCGCTTCGAAGAGGGCCTTGCTATGAAAGGCACATGGAAATTCTTTATCTGGTAAAGAGATCAGCGGCGAAACGATATAGGGCCAAGAGAATAAGAACCCCAAGCCTCTATGAACGTCTATAGTCTCCAATATAGACTCTACTACGCAAACGTGCTAGTTGATTCGATGTCGTCAGCAGCACGTCAGTACCCCCCAGAGGTACATTGAAGAGCAATACCGCTGTTTTTCGTCAGCCCCTTACGAAAGCTAAGTTCAACATATGCAGCAAGCAGGTTGTTAACCGCATGATACACGCGAAATCACTACTATATTAGTCCCATTAGTGTCACGGAGAAATGGATGTATGAGGCGCGTTCGGTTATCGAAATGCAGAGATGCCCGAGTGCTTCTGTCCTTAGCCGCGGGCTGGGTTTGCACAAAGCTGAAATCTACGAAGGAAGGGACATAGGAACTTATATTCAGAACACAAAAGAGACTATAGTGAGCGAAACACCCTTTTATTTTTCTTTGTTCTAATTTACTTAAGCATAGATTGAAAATAATTTTTAAGATATCTCAGTACAGCATAGATCTGACTAAGTAGAAAACTAGCCTTATGAACTCTGCTGTACAGTTCCGTTTACATATTCAGGGCGGGGTAAAAATCTCTTGACAGCTTTAAGTGTATTCATTTTATATCTCTCATATCAAGGTAGCAGAAGAGTAAAATTTAGTAAAAATAAAAGAGTAGTGTTAAATATTATATATAGATATATATGACGCTGCTCGACCCAAAGAAACTCGGTGCGCAATCTCAGTATATTGCATGCAAAATCGCGCGCCTTGTATCCATTGAGGGTTTGAGTTGGCAGCACTTTGCCGGTGAGTACAGTAAATACAGTAAAGCGTTGTCGAAGAGGGTGTAACCCCATTACCGTAACTTACCTCTCGCTTAGAACGGAGTCAGGCTACTCCTCGTTACTGGCTGCTGAGGATCGCCTGGCCCGAATACGAAATGGCATCAAGCATCGGACACCGAGAATCGACAGCTACGCAGCTTTCAGTTTCTTCAATGCAGGCAATGCGGCGCATCTCATCCGAGCTCTGCTGACCCCTAACATCCAGCGTGGCCCATCACTTTAGCGGTGCCTCGACCGCCTTGTACCCGTTTGACAATGCACCAGCACAAGCTGGTATCAGTTCGCGCAGCCGTGTGGTGCGTACCATTTGGAAGGTGGAACATCGTCTTCCTTTTTTCTTCCTCTTAGGCCTATTGCCCGCCCCTACCCTCAGCTGACTTATGACGATTCCACTTCAGTGCGCAGCGACGACTTTCGGCTCGGCTTCTTGCGTTCCTCGAGCACCTCCTTTCCCCACTAGTGGCTATCGACTGCTGACTGTTCCTTCTTAGTTGAATGTTCTGTCTAACTTACGAAGAGTAGACACCGTCACTACACAAGATGCGACGCACTGGCGCGATGCAGAGCAATACGGCCACTCGACATCGGAACGGACTCGTCCTAAAGGACCCTTCGTTTGCTGCGTATCCCGCTCTTCTGATGAGCACGCGACTGCACCTTCCCCAAATGCGGATGAGGTACAGCATAAATGCTACTGGGGATGCGGCAAAACACTATCGAAGCAAAGACTGCGAGTGAAATATGTGTAGAGACAGGAAACGACAAGACAGAACACGGAGAACCAATGCTTGCTATTTATGTAATGACATCGGCATCTAGCCAGGCAGCAGGCGAGCGGATAAAAGGTATAGCGATTGCTATGGCTCGCAATAGCACACTCGCGCTGCTCTTGGGTTAGGTAAAGCTGGCGTTGTTGATGATGTTGGTGAAAGTATGCAGCTACAGCTGATCCTGTGGGAGGACTCGAGGCGGCTCGATAGCCACGAACCGCGAGGAAGTTAAGAAGCATCTTTGAAGGCCCACGGGTGTGAGACTACGCAGTATAGCATAATATATTGTAGGAGCATATCCTTTCTCATTGCGTAGGGAAGAATCCAAGGAGGAAAGTCGAAGCTGGCAAGAACAAAAGACCCTACGTTCAGCCTATTAGATAAGAATCTAGGTTTTCCCTAAAGGAAAATACACGTATATATGAATGTTATAGCCATTGCTATCGTTACTGTAGTAGTTGTTCTCTCTCATAGATGCCTCGATGCCTATTGTAGCCACAATATATCATTGCCTATGTATGCCAAGTCTACCGGTATCCCAGTGCGAGAAGCAGCCATTGCGGAAGTACCTAGCTACGTTCAACTTGTTAACTCTCAAATATTATAAAATATTATAGAGACAACCAAATCAATTGCCACATCTATGTGGAGCTCACTTTCAGTTGTGCATATACTGCCCGTAAACTTCTATCAGCGAAGCAGGGATTGCCGCTTCAAGGCTGGTAGCTTTCTTATTTCAGCATTCGTATTTATCCATCTGCCTGTCGACTTCTCTTTTTTTTTCCTTTTAAAAAAAGCAATCCATTATATCAATAGCAAAGTCCAGTGTACTCAGAACGCACCATTCGTGCGACACTAGAGGCCTTTCATTCCATGAAACGTTTCACCCTCCGGGTTCCTTTTGAAATGCATTCGCACTTAACGATGCTTTTAGCAAAGCGTAGCCCGCGTGTCCATTTATTTGGCGTTGTCGTTTACGTCGGCCACTCTAGGGCTTCATTAATTTCTATTCCACAATAAAATGAGGCCAAGAGGAGCATTGAAGAAATGGGGGCCTTTGTTTCTTGCCCCTACCCCTTTCACCAGTTTCAACCCTTGCATCGCTCGCTTGTTCTGCGCAGCTGCTCTAGGTCAAGGGAAAAGGATGAGGAGGACTGACAGTAATTCTATGCATTGCTGGGCGCCCAGCGAATGCGCAGGGTCGTGTCCACAAGTGAACGAACTTCCCTTTGCAAGCAAAGCTGAACACATCCAGAGAAGTGGCGAGTCTCAGGGCATTGACAAGTTGTGAGAAACAGAAGAGCTGCTTCCTTTTTCACGATGAGGTATGAAAGGACACGGACTCTGCCGGCCGCCTAAATAGACAGCCTGTTCTTAAACGTCACTCTCCCACAATAGTCGTCAGGCATGTCTCGCTCTCGGCTTTTTTTCTAAGAGCTATCTAGGATGTTGCTGTTTATTGGTCGAGAGCATAGTGAGTGATTTTGAGTGTTTGTCCGCTGAAACAAAGGTTACCTTCGTACTTCTTCAGCAGTTCTGCTACTCTGCTCTCGCCCCCTATATGAAACAAGTGTTGCTTTCGTATTTGCGACTTGAAGGGAATGCAGGCGTTTGTGACAGGTCTCCCTCGTTACGAAGCTGGAGAATGGACCGCGTGGAAAGAAGGCAGCCGTGGGCGACCCGTTCGGGCCAATCGCGAAAAGATATAACAAACGGGATGATAGGAAATAAGACAAAAAATTGGAGCAGACTGGCCAGATGAACTAATCACTGGCCGGAAATAATTGCGATGACACAATTAAGGTAGTCATAGTTCGCTTCGTCAGTCGTTCGACGCTTTCGGTAGTTTTCGTTCTTTATTTCTGTGAGGGTAGTTATAATCAAACAAAGGAAGTGAAGAGGTAGGTCGCGCATCTTGGATGTGACAGCAACTTGCTTTGAATGATAGTTCACTTGGTAATCCTCTCAAAGAATCGAAGGAATTGACAATTTCTCGTTCGAAGATGAAACCCGGTAACTTGTTTGCAAACTTATTTTTTTAGCACCAACAATGGATACAGACAGCGATTTGGCCGGCCAGCAAACAAAGATGGGGTGAGTTTTTTTTCGCTTCTTTGCACAAAGCTATTCAAGCAGTCATTGAATGAGTACATGACATTTCGCAGAATGAAGAAGTCTATATAGTGGAGCTTCTTGAGTGTCAACAATAAGCAATTCTGGTTATAAGTGGCGACTACCGGGGTACCGCTGAAGTAACATCGGAGACCCGGTCCTCAGTTCGAAACTCATAAGACACATAATTACCTCTGCAATCTTGCGCATTCATTTATAAAATTACCCATCGACGATTTCGGTGACGCTTATTATTATGGCAATATATGCAAATCGTGTTATCTGCCACAAGAAACAGTATTCGGATTATAGTAGTTTAATTTTATATCGAGCTGCGTTATAGACAGCAGAATTTTATATGCAGTTCCATACATCAAAGTAAGATCTAGAGAAGTCAAAAATTCTGTTATCGCAGAATACATGACAAATTGAACTTCTAAAAAACAAACATTTGAAGACCGCTTCCGGAAACCAAATTGAGCTACTTTACCGGCTGGTTGCAGCGAGAAATTCGTTTTCTTACGCACGATCCCGTATTATGCTTCAATTTCGTTACTTCTATCATTGTCTAGGACTGAAAACACATTATCAAATCAATAGTGTACATAATAGTGAATTTATTTATAATAATTAGCACGAGGCTGGTTAATCGCTTTACTCTGATGTTTAGGCCATGAGCTTTAGTAATAGTCATTCATGGGTGGTATTTTACGCTAATATATTCCTGGCGTCCGTTCGGACGGAGAGTTACCGTTCCTCTGAGTCGAGGCTCAAATCCCCCTCCTTCGCTTCAGGATTCTCCTGTGCCGCTTTGAGCCTCTGCCGCAGTGTCCTCTGAGAGGTCATGTACCTAACGAGTTTATTTTTGCAAGCAGCGTCACAGGGTCGTTCCTGTCGGACAACGCTTTCCCTGTAATTGAGAAAAGGTAGAAACAATCATATTTTTGTAGGTTCAATGGGCAAATACAGTTAGGACTACAGGCAAAGCTCACCGATACTTCAGTGGAAAAATGTACACGGATGGCTTTGAGGGCTGATATGAAATGGATAGCCACTGAGGGAAGAGATGAAAGAGGCACGAGGGCGAAAAGTTTAATATTATTAGGAGTTAAAACTCGAGGTCAACTGAACTGGACAGCTGCTAAGAAATAAGAAAATAAGCTTTATTCAAAAAAAAAACGTTGCTAACTTGGTACGTTTTTCCGTGTCTGTATTTTAACTTGAAACGTCTAGTCTCTTTTTGAGAAAATTCTATTCTATATTGGATTCACAAAAACGCAAATTGCTATAATCAATTGAGGTTTTTGTAGCATATTCAGCCTTTAGGGGTCCATACCTAAATTGCAAATGATGTTTGTAGAATGCCTGCAAGAGGTTATCGTCTTTATCGAACTGTTGTATGAGTTTGGCCCAGCTTTCAGCATCGAATTTCCTCAGGCCATACGACTTACGAGCGGAATAGCCCAATTCCCAATGGGGATCCCCGTAAAGAACCTTCTCCATGGCGCGTCGCCTGAAGGGGCTCATGCTGGCAAAATCATTGCGTACTTTGTCATGAACCGATTCACGAATCTTGAAGTAACCGGCATTGGCCGTTGTTAGGTTGAGAAAATAAGTTTCGACATCAACGACTTCACCCATCTCCGTTTGGAAAATACGGTACTCAGGCATACCGCTCCACGACGTTGTAACAGCCGGCGTTACATAGAGGACCTAAAAATCACGTGAAAAATAGCATAAAGATGGGGAGGATGCCAAACGTCCCTTATAAAGCACGCAGATGAACCATTAAACAATAAGAATGAAAGTTTCGCGTACGATAGTTTTTATGGATTAATTTCAGTCGAACTCAATTCTAAACCTAACCTATTAAACACTTCGAAGTTTAGTGACTCGAAAATTTCATATCTCTGAAGACACGCTCAGCTGGTTGATCACATTTGTAAGCAAGGTGCCGTGAATGCTCTGCTTTCAGCTTGATTGAATCGGATATACGAACTTCACAGTATTAAACTCATGTGGTGTCCGAAGTCAACAAATAACGATTAAGCTTAACAAAGTCAGCTTGTTGTTGCCATTCACTGAAAATCGACGAAACGCTTATTTGCCCTAAATAAATACACAGAACACTGTGATTCAAGGAACTTAAGTAAAGAAATATTAATAATAAATAAATAAGAAAAAGTTCTACATCAAATTTTACAATCGAAACACCGATCTCTGAAAGTTTGAAAAAGTTCTCGACGAAAAAAAGTTTGGGCTCTGGGACATCTATTAGAATCTGGCTATATACTATATATTTGCTTATTACATAACTCGAAGTTGTAAAGAAAATTTGTTATTTATGGTAATAACTTTACTTGTTTAAAGTATATTATTCTATATTCAACTTGTATATATACCTGGCAAAAATATAATTGAATGATGATAAGATAATAATAATAATTGTAAACAAATTACAGGTGAAGAACCCTTGGTTAGAATCCTATTTTGATAATTTCAGTTTAGTCAGATGGAAGCATGCGTGATTAAACTTATATCCGAGTAGTTAAATTATAGTCTACTTGAACTTCATTAAACGATGTCGGAACTACTCCATGTAAGCTCGTCAATACAATGCAACCCATCAAAGGCTTCCAGAAACTAAAAGCTCTAATTCAATACGATTATCAGATAAGTTCACGGAGTAGTGCAACCATAGTTCCTACACATGCTGAAGTAAACGGTAGTTGGTAACAGACATCGATTTCCCCTCATATTTAAAACCGAACAAGTAGCACAATGGCCTGATAGTAGACTATCTGACCAACTACTGACAGTGCAAGACCGTATCGAAATTCTACAGTTATGGTCAAGAGCAAAAGTTTCAATACTGTGTTGTAGTTTCAATTTTCGTATCCCGTGGGAATAAACTCCATATAATTTTAATGGCTTCCACGTGTTAGCGAGGCCGATCAGTGGCCTACGTTTTACGAACACCGACTTTCTCAAAGGGACAATACATAGCATAAAAATTAAATATGAGTGGCAAGCATACGGCTCCTATAAAGAAAGATTATAGGATATGGGCCTTGACATGTAAGCTTATTATTAGGCTTACTAAAGACAAATATTTTTTAGTTATATTTACATTTTTTTCACGCGCTTAGTTGAAACATTATTTTTTACAGTCGCGCAACTGTCTAACCGCACAAGCTAATGCTTTATTTAAGTAGCGTGTACAGCGCGGCAGCAGTTGAAACTATCGCATTTATACATACCATAACATTATAAAAATCAAAGATCGTCCGGACCGATCGGACTCCTGGCATACACAGTCTGCCAAACTGTCAATGTGCTTAATTCTATTTAACAATGGTAAGGTGTGACGTGAGTACAGACCGAGGTAGCTTTTGTAGAGTCCTGAGCATCATGGTAGTCGAGAATGACCTCGTCCGTATGCATATGTGCAAAGAACTGGCCGGTGATCGTCCTTCGGAATTTTGTAACGATGTCAAAATATGCGTCTTCCCAGTATTGGTTACATGTGCTTGAGCCAGGGGGGATATGACCGATAATGAAGACGCGTTCGCGGTTGTATCTGGCCTCGTCCAGGGTAGCTATTAGCCATTGAAGTTGACGCGCGGGATCGTTGGCACCAAGAACCAGCCACCAATTACCTGCCACGTAAATGGATGACATGCGGCAAAAAGTTGGACACGAGGAGCCACTTCTAGATTGTAATTAAACCTATACTAGGCCGCTTACTTATGTTTATGTTTTGTTAGGCACTTAACAAAGCATAAACGTAACGCTCCTGAAGCTCATATTAGCTCAGAAGTTGGCGTCGATGAGTAGTTTTTGCTTTCTTTGAAAAAAGGAGCATTTCAAGCGATGCCAAGTGTTTAAAAGCTTGTTACGAAAAAGGCAGATGCTAGGCTGATATGAACGAATTGAAGGACGAGTCTGTTACTTACTCGTGTAACAAAAGTTAGTGTTGAGCGAAATGATGCGCAGCTGGGGACGGACTTTGGCTGTATAGTAACCGCCGTATTTAAACACATTCTCCTGATCAGCGGGCAGCCAATCGTACCAGAGATTCCACATTTCTTCGTAGACAGGCTTCACTGAAAACTCGCCAGCGTCGACGCCGGGCTGCGGAAACAACCTAAATCGACACGTACAGTATATACAGTTAATAAATGTATAGCGATGTGATATCAGTATGATATGCTACTGCGGTCTTTGACTACTAAACATTAGATCCTATAAATGCAATGTTTACATTTGTCCTTCTGCACTTTGCCGAAAGCTTGCTTGCTTGCAGCAAGTACATAGAAGTCAAATTTAAACAACCTTTTTTTGCTGTTTGCCTACGTAAATTTGTACTGGCTTAGGTCGTACAGATATTCGGTACCGACCTATCAGGGAAAGCGTCATGATTTCCGATGGCAGGAAAAACCCTGACTTTACGCAGGTATCGCTTGATAATGGCTGTCGTTTCCTGAATGTTTTTCACGGCGCGCTCTTTCGTCATGCCTAGGTAGACGTGGGCACTGATATCACCGGTCCAAATAGCAAAGGTTACATGGCGGCTTCGGTCGATATCTTGGAACATGTTTTCAACGGTACGAATCGGAATATCACACGTCCCACCTAATTTGTCATCAATTAACAATAATATGTCATTGAATCCAGTGGAATTTTGAAGAATGGCGCAGCAGCAGCAGCAGCCTATTTATAATAACAATAATGTTAATAGACACGCCTAAAAACTGTATGGCAATAAGGGGTTCATAGTCGGTTGCACTTCGTCATCCTTTTTCAGGGTTTTCTATAGATACTAACCTCCAGGATGTCCCCAAGGCGGAGCAAATCTGTTTATATCAGTGGTTTGGTTCTGGTACTTCGTACAGCAGATGGGCTCGTTGCATAGTGCATCTGCGCCAACGTCGTAGTCCTCATCGAAGTGTGTATCGGTCACGTGGAGCATCGAGAGATGAGTTTGCTGCAGAAAGTTGAAGTCACAACAAATGTGTTTATTTTTCGAGCTTAATAATCCACTTTTCCCATACTTTTATATGAGCGCAATTATGCTATAGATATAGAACTGGCTGGTTGTGCTTTAAGCAGAAATTTCTTTCTGATAATGTTTATTCAATCTGGAAAAGTCATGACGCCCGATGAATTCGAGTTCGGTCCAGTGCGTCGTTACAGGTAGCCCAGAATGCCGATTGACCACAGAGCGAGCATGTTTAGTTAATGGTTATTCAATTATACGAAAGAAAAATTAGACGAGGCCGAGAATTAACTCTGTAACGTAAGACGCTTTTTCTCGTGATCTGCACTATTCTTCAAAGTTACTCACACCCCACTCGGATTCGTGGTGATGGAAGTGTTTATCAGATAACTGGGCGTCGTCCTCAACTGCCTGCAGCGATATTCTCCAGTTGAAGCGCTCGCTCTCCGGGGTACCACACGCACCGCCTGACAGGAACTTACATACGTCCTTCAGAGGTGGCTCCAACTGTTGCGCAATTTTGATTATCACACCTGCAAGTGATTGGCGGTAAAAATGATCATTTTTAAATGGAAAAAATTATGTAGCAGACTGAAATTTCTCCAACCGAATAACTACGGGACTCGAAGATAACGGGCGCGTGTCGAGTATCTATGGCTATGAGCGCCTATTTCTATCCTCAACTCAAATAAACATAAAAATAATGAAATCTAGTTCTCGACAGGACTAATAGCGACCATAATAACAATCATTCGGCGTAAGTAACGGCGTTTAAATTGATATTTATTTACCGCTATACATTCTGTATTCCTCGTCACATATCCGAGGTGTGTAATAACGCGTCTCTTTACAAGCATCAACTGCACTCTCGAGCGTGCCTTTCGGATCATTTTTTAACATTTCTAAGACCGGTTCACACTGCTCACAGAAACCTTCCGTGTCGTTGCCATGGATCATGTAGTCTACAAAACGCCTGCGTAAAAAAAGAATATCAATACCGAAAAGAACTTCACATACCTGTAAGTTAATGAATATTTAGTAATAATAATAAAATGTTTGATCCCACCGACCAAACAACCGACGTTTTTGTTTTCGGGCGGCCGTTATATCCGTAATGCGATAAAGGTGACGGTACAACATTTCAATATCCATTCGAAATGTTGGTGGCCTACTTAGAATATATATAAATCGAAGAACTATAAAAATAACTAAGCTACTAATATGGAATATCTATCGTCCAAATACAATGAGCATATTTGTTCTATGAATTAGTACACTGAAGAAGCCTTCCTACGGCACGAACTTCACAGGCACATGAAGGAAGAAAATTTGTTCGGGCCTTCTTTCCGTTTTCTATTAAGTACTTTTCCCTATTTTTCGTATTCGCTTACGTACTTTTGTTCTATCATGGGTTACGATGTTATGCAAAGTGTACCACCCCTTGAGCCTGAATATCTATTTTGTAAAATGCGTTCTAAACGGCACTACCTTTCACGCTCTAAGCGTATCGAGCTATTGTTTCAGCTGTTAGCTTAACGCACATTTACTTCCCATTACAGGACAGCCAAACGGAATGATGGCTTTCATGTTACTCGTATTAAGTAGGAATCTAACAAACATTTAACACTCATAGCCTCTGTTCATTTGAAAAACTAAGATAGCTGCTTCCTTTGACCATTCCTCCCCGTTAAATGTACGTATAATACTAACAGCCTTAATACTTGTCTATCATTGTTCGATTGAATCATTTCTAAGCACTAGTCATCTTAATACTTCCCCCAACAATCAGGCAATCTGTTACACAATAAAAAACAATATTGTATCTGCATAAAAATGTTCCGTTATTAGGGTTTGTCTTGATAGGAATGTCTTTTGCATTTGTGCTATATTCCTAATACGAATATTCTCTCACATGTGCTGTATGTCTTTTCTAGATGTTTGTAAATAAGTTTAGTAGACCACGGTATTATTTTTTTAAGAAAAGCTCTTGTCGAGTTGTGCGGTATCTTTTATATACAAAAGCGCACATATATATATATATATATAGCCACATATTTACGATTCAGTGCTCATAGCCGTTGCAGGACAATCTGTATAATAAACCGCAGCAGTACAACAATAGACAACATCGTATTTGCCTCTTGTTGACCCTTACTCACAACAACGATAGCTGTTCTAGCTGATGATTAGTTTGAGCTATGCATATGTGTAACTATTCGTGGGTGGCATTGAGGATTTTTCACTACTTGCGATCCTCAGACGTCGCCCAAATACGGCGAGCAAACGCAAATCGACAGGACATTGATAGAGCAATGGACCTGGTGAAGATGAGGCTGGATGGAGAGGTGACGTTTCCCGACAACACGTTTCTAACGAAAAGAACGAAAGTGCAACTTTACGGTAGCAGCACTACATAGTGGTCACCAGTGGATTAGCTTCCCTCTTTTACCACTTGCCGGTTATGGCAAACATCCGCAGAAATTGTTTTTGTTTTAAACGAGAACGAAGTGCGAAATTTGTCGGTACGAAGAGAAAAAAAAAGTGAATTTAGGCCTTTTAACTGTTAATCTCATATGTTTAAACAATCAATTAAAAAAATCTATTGAATCTTTATGTGCTAAACTACTGAGTGTATCTTAATGCAGTTAGGAACCTGGTGAAAAATTATAGCTTAAACCATTATTCATTGTTATCTATCCTGTGCATAAGTTTATTACTGAAAGGAATATGTCCGTGGACTGGTAGGCAGATATTGAAAACATCCGGATAATGTTTTTTCTCTTTGGTTTCTATTTATTCCGATTGAAATCGAACTTAATTCGATCCAGATAGGCTGGACGCGCCTGCTACGAATACCCTCAAAAACCCTCAGATCAAAAGGCGCATACACTCGTCATATGTAAGTTAAACTAACTTATATTGGGTGACCATACAATCATTTTGAATATTTGCGCGTTGCACAGTGCCAATTAGGAACGTGAGACATTTGGGCCCTTGGCACATTGAGTTCACATATATGAAAAAAGCGTGATTACGTAATAGTTGACTTATACGTTTGTACTATACGTTTGCTCTGTCACACTTATCATCTCAACTTACCCTTGTATTTGCTTGCTGTGCTGGTAATTGGTCGCACTGAATACAAATCAATTTGGTTTTGCTGAAGTGAAAAATGTTTGACCTTCTATGCTAAACAAGTGTTACTGACGATAAAGAGAACCTCGGTTCCGTTCTTGGGCCTTGGACCTTCTACCTCCTCCCAACAAGCTTTATTAGGACCTTTTTCTTGACCAGTTATCTAAACATTAATCTAACAAAACTACTCAAGACAAGTGCCTAATCGATTGCTATGACGGGACCTCAAACTCTTGATAGCTGCATCGATCATATCTGTAAAAAAAACGCGCTCTGATCTGATATATTTCTGGTTGATTGCTAAACGAAAATCTTTCAAACTTCGACCATAAAGCGGGATATTAGTCCGAGGCACTTTTTTAAGCTCACAAATCAATTTAACTGAGTATACAGTAATCATAGCCGTTCCGTAATCATCAGTTCATAAGAAGTGATTGCTACTCCGAGACAAGCTTCCATCAGCTCGAAAGGCCTCAAGAAATCTATTAATGCCCCTTGAAATGGAGAGTTCGGCATCCGTCCCCCAGAGAGCAACGTTCATTAGTAAATTACATTAATTTTACATCAAATTATAAAGAATAGTAACTATCGAAAAATGTATTAGATTAGGCTAGATAAATGCGAGAGATGTCGTAGAGGCGAGAACGACATGGATGTAACCAGCGTTTGCTCTCCTTGAATATATATAGCAGAGCCCTCTGCCTCTTCCTGCCGATCTTACTGACTTGACAGCCGTCTAAACAATAAACATCAAAGAAGATGGTATTCTAATGGACCGTGTTTGCCGTTGGATGTCGCTGGCAGCCGTAGCAACGCAGAATGACTGCGAGCCCGCCGAAGGGAAAGCACTGCATATGTCTATATCCATACTACACGATCTGTGGTAATGAAGAAGCTTATATATTATTGAACCAAAGAAAACGAAAGATCATCCCATAAATTAGTGGCAACCGTAAAAGCATGCTGTATGGTATCAGAAAAATACAGTAGCTTTAGAACTTATTAGGAAATGATTATTATAATTCCACATATGTACAAACACGATAGCATGATTATACGTCAACCTTAGCTTTCGTCTCAGCTAGTGGCTTGCTATTGGTGGCGGGCTAATTCAAACGTACCTACAATGGCGATACGCATACGGAGCCATTGCATAGAATTGTTGTTAAATGTCATAGCACACGATGGTTTGCAGTTTCAAGCTTCATGTCATTCGTTAAAGGTGTACGCATGTACACGTCACGTCTATATATATATATACATATATATATATACACATGTCTATAATATGCATGCATTAACTGTCCATGGAAGGAACATAAACGTCTAGCATCACCCTCGAAACCTTTACAAATTTAATCGATTGTGCTTAAACGTCATTTTTAAAATAATTTTCGTACTCATTGCAGCACCATGTAGAAAATATGATTTTCTAACACCCTCTGCTATACGGACCAAAGCAAAAAAGAGCTATAATTAATGGATGAACTGACGAAACTAACTACACAAAAAGGCAGGCGTCTTCACTGACGAGCTACTAGCTAATTTCCAACACTGTTAAATTTAGCGAGTTAACTCAGTGCACAGTCCTTATTGTGTCGCCTTTTCGATCGGCTGCTCATAGGCTCGGTTGAAAATTTACATATATATACATATACAGTCTAGAATAATGTTAAACAAGTAACTTGTATGTGCAATCTTATAAATGAGCCCCTGTGAAGAGTGTACGTTTAGAATGACTACAAAAGGGGATTATTCCCTCTGCGTGCCTGTAGGTAGACAGCCTTTGTCACTCTGACCACGTAATACTGAGTAAAGCTTTTTAGTAGGAAGTTCACAGGACCCTTTTTACATTTACGTTTACGAATTAAATAGCATGGATTATTAAGTTAGTCGCCGCCATCTGGGATAACCCTATTCATTTTCATGACTTATCGGCTCGGCTGAAACGGGGTGGACGAGGGGTTTGCCTTTACATCTGCTTATGTTAATTTACGCTCGGCGTGTGGTCCTATAACGAGTACTATGTGGCTGGGAAATAGAGGTGCGGCAATCAAGGACTTTGAGGCAGAACTGGACTTCTCATAGTTTTTTATTATTAAAATTGCCACTAATATTAATTGCAGTGACATTGAAAGTTTAATACGCATACTAATAACGCGCGCTAAGTTAATAACTTAAAACTATAGACAGTTTTACTGTAAGCTTCAATACAAGCTGTAACTTTTTTGAAGTACTCGTTTGGTATCTTTATCTTGTACAAGCACGATATAACACAGATTATGCTATTACAAATGGCTTATAACGATAAACAACGGTAAGCTACTTATCGCCGTTATCTCAGCGGCTTTGGGCGATCGCAAGGTCGACAATTAGTGGTCAGCTTTCTCGGTATCTGATCGTAGGGCTGATCACTACTCAGCATTCTAATAAAAATCTGTGTTTAAATTGCTTACATTATTACTCACAATACACACTCTTATGGAGTACAAAAAGTTATTCAGTGCACTAGGGTAATCTTTTAGTTAATAATGAATCGCGCAGAGATTTTGAGTTTAGCATTTAATGTATCACGGTTCTTAAAGGACTCGTTCTGTTCATCCCGCTGGGGCCGTGCATAGAATTCCTTTAGGCAACAATAGGCCGCAGAAGCCTATTCACCTGCAAAACACCGTAGGCAGCATGAACGGACTCACGGGCGAACGACATTACGTAACATCTCAACAATGGCTGCGGACCTCTCCACAGCAAAACTCTATTCAGTATCTCAGCAGTGTTCAGCGTTACCGGAAAACACTGCATTTTAGGTATCATCATACAGTTTTTTCGATCTCTACATGTATTCTGTATTTCGATCTAATAAAGCATTATAAAACAATTTTCTTTTTTGACAGAGACAATTCATGAGTAAGTTCTACATTAACTTTTGCGAAAACTATTAAGGTGGGCACATTGTAAAAATCCTATTTTAAAATCGATCACATAAGACATTCAAGACTTCTGCTTGTAACACGTTTCAGTTACCTTTTTATCTCAATAATCGTAAGTCAGAGCATTTAAGATACGTAAGTAATACTTTTATTATAATTCTATTGTTCTGTGGCTAGATCGAAAAGTTATCAAAAGCGCAAGAGCAAATAGTTGCTTACTTACCTGTAGGACCCAGCCTGAGCGGCCGCTGTGAGCGCCGCTAGCATGAGGACGGCATTAGCGATTGACTGCCACATCGCTAACGAGAGCTAATTGCTTAGGCCCGATGTCGTTTCGTCGTGTTTCCGTCGTGGTGCACACAGGAGAACAATGGAACTAAAGGATAGCAGGAGCCAGTACGACAGCCGTTCGTACACTGGCCAGGAGGGGGGACAATGAGAGTGGGATTAACGTGGCCGGTTGTTCGTTTTTAATGCTGTGCACGGCCAAAGGATTGACTATAAAAGTTTCTTCTAATAGAGTATGCTACAGGCCATACACCTCGTATGTCTCAATAATTTACCCTCTTGATGGCAGCAGGGCTTGCAGCGATCGTGGTATGCCTTCAACAGAGAACGAACATTTCGTTGACATCAATACAAAATTAAGGATACGAAACGGAAAGTTAGAATACAAATATCATGGATGAGAGCGAACAATGAAGCTAACAAATAGACCAGCCAAACATGCATACGCAGAATGAAACAGAAGTCTTGACAAATCTATCTTATATGTCATAAATATATAAAATATGCAGGTATACTGTGCGGTTTAAAAAGAAATGTTCTCAAATTGACAAGCGATATATATATATATATAATGTAGCTCACTATAGAAATTCACCACGTCGAATATATTGATTCCACTAATGTTCCGACACGCTCGTGCTCGCACATATGAAACTACCCATAAATACGGATTCATAAAAAAAAAAAAAACAGGAATGACGTGTACCTACTCATAATCTATAGTCAGAAGCAACTAGAAAGCAACAGCTGGAGTTTATTTTGCTTTTAGCCTCTGTGAACGCTGTATACTGCGGTTGTTACTGAGACGCTTTTCAAACCACTTCTTAGAAAGAAATAAAAGTTATACTTGACAATCGACGTTACGCAGAACTTTTCTGTTAGGAGCGTGTCTTAAGATGTTTTTGCCATAGTTCAATGGCGCCTTATATTATACATGTTATGCGATAACTGTCGTCTACAATTTATCTTTGAAAAGTATATTGAAAGCAAATGAAAAGAAGCATGTTAACTTACATCATTCAGAAACTAAGTCTACGTTTGTTCTAGTAGCATCTGCACACCGCAGTCAACAAGCGGTAAGTGCTGGCATTGATTGACATGGTTCGGTACTCTTTTTTCAAAGCCAACAGGTACACGTGTCTCCTTGAACCTGAGAACTCCTTGAACCCAGACTGGTCACACTTACCAAGACACACATAGTTGCTAAAGAGGTCGGCTGTGGCCGACATCCTGATGGACGATCAAGATGGATAATGCCGATTGGTACTATGCAGACCCCCTCCCCCGTGTACTCTATCATGACATTGGTGATGATAGCGAAGCTGAATCCTCTACAAGAGAGTTCATTTTGCCTGGCCGATACCGTTTCATGCAAACACCGTCGCTCTGTTTAATACGGGTGCTTAGAACTAGACATGACAATTGATTACATATTGTGTAAATCCTGTGGTCATTTCGAACTTGTCAGGACGTTATCGTCCTTCAGAATGGTTCCTATTATTGTTATGATTTGTTGGCGCCAGTCCCATGTGTGATTGGTGCTATGCGAGGCACAAGCGGGCTTATCTCCATCTTTATTAGTGCCTTCAAGCAGTTGGGTCGGTCGTCGAAGCCTGGACGTCAAGAACTAGGCGAAGGCAGTTTGAGGTGATGATTGTGCAAACATCATGAACGTTGCAGAACATCATCTTTGTCAAAGCCTGTCCGTCAGCTCCAATCCGCCATAAGGCCCCACAAAAGTCCGCCAGTGTCATCGTCAATGTTAACATGACAATAATTTGCTTGTGTTTACACACAAATCGCCAGACAAAAGGTTAATTCGTTGAACGAGATTAGAGCAAGAGAAACTCGTTAGCAACACTCGAAAGTTGCCAACAACTTGGCAGTCATCAGACGACATTAGGCACCTCAGCTGTAGTTGGTAGCTAGATATCTTCTTATGCGCTGAACCCCAGAAAAAAATGGCTCGTACAAAGCGAAACAGACCCCCTGTATTACAGTATTTTATGTCATAGAAAAAAAGCCAAATTATATTTTTTCAAAGAAAATTGTGCTTCAAGTATGCATAGGGCACAGCACAGCAATACATATAGCAGCTGAATCCCACCTTATCGACCACTCTACTTTAAACTGCATAAATAAAATAAGATACAAGATTTGCTTTTATTCCTTGCTTGTGACACACAAGCCTGTTATCCAATATCAACTCTCTCCTATCTTCGTAAGCCTTTTTTTTTTTTTTTTTTTTTAAACTTTCAACGTCTACTGCAAAGCTGCAGGTCACTGGCCTGATTGTCAAGTGGATTGTTCTAACCTGTAATGGCCACCCACCCGCACTAATCAGAGCGGTGTTGTGGCCAGAATTTTCCTGATTCAAATTCTGACCAGGGAAATACTTCCTGTATGTAATCGAAATAGTATTTTCCCCAGATAACAATTAAGGCTTTTGCTTGTAGTAATAATCAGCATAAAACAGTCCTAACCGTACTCAGCTGTCAAAGTTGATTCTAATCTGTCACAGGTGCCCTAATTCTACGCTTTACAATTGAACACACGAATCAGAATAAGACAAATGCCGTAGAGCCATACGATAAATCCAATTCGCTCTCTGAAAACCTCGATGTCGACTACGAAGCTCAAATGAAGTTACGTTTACGGAAGTCCGTGGGGCGCATTACAAGAATGGCGTTAACATACAATGGAGGCATACAATCGAACCGCTAAAAAACTAGGTCCTTATCATCAAATATTGAAAAGACAACTGCCGAACAACTGTAACCCTTATTTCATTACTTATTCAAATCCGATTAATATTTAGCACTACAAATGCCGTTCCACCTCTATAAACACATATACAAGCTCCTTATCATAAGCCATTAGTCTTCCAATAATCGGTAACGTGTTGATAAGGTAAAAGTTCGAAGATTCCGTAATAAGTACTTAGCGTGAATGAGGCTAGATTAATAACAGACACCTCTGTACGAAATGCATTATCTTCGCCATTTTACAATCTTTACGTTTATAACATACGTGGCGCTTCGTGAAATACCGATTATATCCTTCCTAGTAAAGTTCTCTCTGTTAGGACAAACATTCGAAATATACGGGTATCCGCAGTTGCTGCTTGGCTTATCGTTCTAAAATATGGGTGATTTAAGTAACGTGGAACGCCTACGCTTCTATGCGCTTTTACATTTTAACTAATCAATTTTTCACAGCGATGCGCCACAAGCTATGCTGAGGTAGCGCCTCGGCAATATAGATCGGTTGTTGATCAGTCCCATCTCTGATTCATTAAATACTAATAATATAACGTTCTTTGAAGTTTAAAATGAAGTTTGTTCCGCGAGTTCACAATTTGCCGGTATTGTTTGTTGGGCTTCAGAACAGTTTGCTGGTTTGCGCGGGCTAACAGCGATATCAATACATGGTCTCGCCTGACAGCGGTTTTACGGAAAAAAGTACATCATCCAATTACGAATTTAAGGACGCGTGACAAACGCACCCAAATGACTGGCTTATAGGATGAATAATATAACGTAACAACGATGCTGTAATATGGACTGAAGCTTTGCTACAGGTGCATTTCGCGACGGCACTTGAGCTTAAGCGCACTCAGTGATTTTCGAAATTGTACGTAGACACACGATTTAAGTAAATAATCGAAATTGCCAACGACAGTTACTGGACGCTTAATTCGATAGAACCTGATAGATTCCAGTTGGGTAGATTTCAATCTCGATCGCGAATTAGACGGTATACCGAAAATACACAAATAGATAGATAGTACAATATTCAACTTGACTCATCTCACGTTGACAGGGTTGTATTGAAGAAGGAAAATTTAAATACTTGCTTTTGTCGCTGTACTATTGTAGATCGATGATTTGTTATCCCGAGCACAAACTTGTTTAACTTACATAAAATGTAAGTTTACAATTTGTTGCCCGACGAAGCTCAGCCCATAGGCTACTGAAATGCCTCGTACTTTAGCGGGTAACTAGCAGACGATAAGTTGTGCTAACACGTGGTTAATTCGAAGTGCGTGTGTCACAACATCATTTTTCATAGAAGTTACAACACCCATTTTTCCAAGACAGTCACTGTGTCGTTCTACAGAGGGTTCCTCGATTAAACGCGTGTTACGATGAGTTAATCGATAGGCACCGTCAGACAAATGCATTTTTAGCACACGAGAATTAACGACCTTTTTGTTCTTTGTCTGCACCACGAGATAACAAAGTTCTGACTGCCGCCATAAGCGTAAAGAACAGAATACGATCTTACATAGATGTAAGCAGAGGAAAAAGGAGGGAGGCCAACCTTTCGATTGCTGTTGCCGGCGAGCATGTTCCCTTCCGTCACGCAATCGTGTCACAGGAAAGAAGGATTTTTGTTTGCACTATAGGTTTTCTCTGGCGGGCCGCGAGTGGCCCACGGGCCTTTAGTATGTTCAAGTTGGCAAGACATGCTCATGGTGTTGTTGAAACGGTACGACTAAATATAGAAATTGAAGCATAGCCGCTTCCAATATCTGGGTATTTGATATCACTACAGGGAGTGCTTCTCAACTATTAACCGGACCAGACTTACTTGGGGTTTATGCTATTTGTTTTGTTATTAAATGTCACGGTTGTTTAATATGCATATCTGGTCGAGACTTCAATGAATTACATAATTATATATGAGAACGATTCATAGTATTATAATCTGGGTAGACGGCAGCATCGATTGTAAACTGGGACTGAAACTAAGTATCAGGCGGTGCCAGTATCCGACGAAGTTTCTAACTTCGTACGGTGAGGTGTTTACTCGTAACAGCCGTAGTGGCGGTCGGTAGTTTTCTACCACAAAAATCTTTTCGGCGTTTAACATACGTCAACGGTCGGTTCAATCATGGCCTGCCTCGAATAGGATTTCGTCTTAACGTATTATTCAAATTCAATAATTATATCTAGCGGCTACAGTTAAATTCTATAGGAACAAATACAAGAAATAGCTGGCGTAAATGGTAGCCACGTCAGATTAGTCCAATCTAATCCATATTATATCTCTGTAATATGCCTATAACCGCTAATTATATTATTATAAAAATATATATATATATATAATAATATAATTAGCGGTTAATAATAATAACTAAAAAAATATATATATATATATATATTACCGTGGTTCTACTGTACATCGCACGTGATTAGAGTTATGATAGCGGCAAGTGCTCAACTTTCAACTGAGTCTGTAGTTGGTTAATGTAAGGTGGGTAAATAGAGAAGCTTCCGGTAAGACTGTGCCAGAAGAGATAATAATGCACCTAAATAGTCGGTACTGTCATTCGCTTGAGAAGGAAAAGGTATCGGCTTTGTTTTGTCGGTGGTTTTCTCGGTTCCATTATTTAGGCCAAAGAAAAAAATACCTTGTCACATTGTTTAAACTGAAATTTTTGCAATTAAGGAATTATCGCATTCAGGCAGACTTAGTAATGAAACTATTGAAAATCCCAAATTGTCTTTACCAAAGATGTTCGAATATTGCCTTATATATAGCCGCCTTAACCAATAATAACTGTAATACCACCACCACCACCACCAATAATGTGTAACATAGGTTCCATAAATACATATATATTTTACCAACTAGCTATATTTAGCTTATAAACTGTCTCTCTACACGTTATTTGTTTCACATTACTAAAAGTAGTGTTCTCAATTGAAAAAGTTTACCTATCCGATTAAACGTAACTCACAAGATCATTTCAAATTACCTATAGTACACACACAGAGCATTAGTTAATAATGTCAGTCACTATGCATGACTCTGGTGACCGAGCCGGCATGTGCACGTACATGCCTTACCTTAACTGATCATCAGGGCGTCGCATACGTACCGCGCCAAACAGCGCCATTATTGCTGTAGCGCGACCCTATTAGGGACAAGATCATGCCGTACGACGAACGTAACGGTGACCGCTCAGACAATCATATGGCGTTCGCCGGTAGATTTTCCGCCATGATTCTATACAGAATATACACACGTGCAGTTACAGGCATCGCACCCACTGGATCTATCGGGCTAGCATATCTTGTTGGTACTTTCAATGCTTATTTGATTACATTCTATATATAAACTGAACTCATAAACGGCCGAGTACTTTGTACCGGTTTCAGAAACTCGTAAATCGAGTCTCAACTTTCCTATACAACATATAACAAACAGGATCGTACGTGCTTATTGGCTCGTTTGGAGCGTTTGTATTGATAATAGGAATTGTTCATTTATTCCCTATAAACCTTCCTTAACTTTCGTTTCCACGAATTTGCTATGGGACGATGACGAGATGTAATTATGGAAGCTGCGCTGCCGGGGATGCATACGAATATTGTTGAAAAGGAGGTCAAAATTAGGGATGATTATGTCTGTTATTAGAGAGATTTTTTTTTTCGTTATTAGATATTTTGAGTGTTTTTTTTTGGCATTTTTATATTTTTCACCGAGAGTTGAGATTTGTAGAATATGACCAGCCCCTTTCAACCCTAATGAAATTCGTTTGCTACATACTGTTTTTTTATTATCATCTGGCTTCATCATTACTTGATCTTATTATAGAATTATGAATCATAATAATAAGAAGAAGACAGCTCTAATTTGTTTGAGATTGACTCTGTTTTTAGGTTTATATTTTCTTTTTTTCCAGCGGCTTGAGTATAATCAAGCTATGTATACGTTAAATGATGGATATCGGCCAACCAACTTTTTAATTTCTCCTTGTTGTTCCAGGGGACTCCCATATGCCCACTCGTATAAATCAGATAGCATCACGTTCCGTGAAATGCAACCCAACCCGTCTCTAGGTGGCGCTACTACAAAACGCCCGGCGTCGCTTTGTAACAGCCAAGGCAGACCCTCGATGCTTTCGCACGTGCTGACGAAACACGGTACGCTTGTTCTTTACGTAAACGTACAATAATACAGAAGAAGATTCGAATACGATGCTCTGTGCATTGTTCGTCCTTGTAACAGCGGCAGGTCACACCGTCGTAATTTTATCTAGCTACTGTTCGCGTACAAACAGCAGTCAAACTTGCCTGACGCTAGACGTCCAGTACGAAAGATAAACACAACTCTGTACAAAGCAATGACAAACATCGACATCTACAAGTTAAAAAAGCAGCTACTAGTGAGATACATATCTTAAACGCCTGCCGTTACGAACGCAATGGCCTAGGATCCTAACAGAGAGAAAAGGAGCACATCGTACAGGCACGCGCGGAACAGCTCACCCACGCGGAGCAACCTGTTTTCCCAATGGTAGCCAATCGCTGGACGTTGCGCTATATCATTTCGGCTATTTAATAAACGTTTCAATCGTACCGCCTTACTTAATGATTACGTCAAACGGCTGGCTCGTCTCAGCACGAAACGAACGGTGTGCCACCTCGTGGGCCTACACCATCTTACAAGCATTTCTAATTCGGGATCACCTTAAATCTTTGTCGCCTAACAGAACAATCGATTGACGCTTAGTATCTGAGCTGATTCTGGTTACTTTCAAGAGTAACACCACGGCGAGGTCGATGGTGATTCCGAGGCCGTCCTGAGCTCTCGCCAATGGCGAGACTTGACGCCTGCCTTGCCTTACGCTTAGCATCTGGTCTACAGATTGTGAACTGATGGCGGCTATATAAAATATCATATCGCCTATAACAGCTGCGGAAACGGTGACATATGCCATCGTCACGCAGCGGAAACGTCGGGCACCAGTATCTGTTGCGCGAAAGAGTATGACGATTGGCCACATTGTCTAGCGCCTTGTCCAGAAATAAAAGTTAGTGCGTTTACCGGGCGAAGGGCTGAGACCGCCTAAACGCTGTTGTATTTCGATTGCTGGCTTAGTAAGTGAATAAAGCGTGAAGTGGGTGTGACCTCACGTGATAATCTGAGTTTTCGAGACTGTAGCGGGGTCTTGGAATCTGACTAGTAGTTATTTTTGTAGTCGGTACTAGTTCGTTTTTTGCTGACCCAGTTGGGTCGCAATGTAGCTTGTAAATATCGACAAAAAGTTGGAGTGAACTACTTCTCATAAAAAATAGAGTGTGCATTGAAGTTTCTATTGACGGACCGGCAAGTACGTTTGCAATGCAAATTTGTAAGGGTAGCTGAGTACCACTTGTGATTTATGCATTGTTCACTCTGGTGGCAAGGTATTAAGGTATCAAAAAGAAAATCAAATAAAAAATCTGTAGCTTCTATGAGGTTCCCACTGAGTTTATTTAATACTGCATGTATATAATCCACACGTCAGGTGTAGACGTAACTGGACTCAAGGAACTCGCCCTACGGAATCTTTGCAAGGCGTCAGAGATACGCGGTGATTCCGTTGCAAGACACGTTAGCAATAGCGGCAACACGTCCCGCTTAGTCGCAGATTGCGCGTAGCTCAGCTAAGCCAAACACCAGTGACGTGCGTATGATAAAACAGGCCGACCGCGTCCAAATGACGCTTGGCGTCCGATGTTTCACTTTGAGACAAGACTGCACAGATGCCAGTCCCACAAAAACGGCCGTGAGAGTGGGCCCAAAAAGCACCGTGTGTCCGTGACGTCAGGTTAAATATGTGCCCTTACGTCACAGGCAGAAATGCCTTGTTGGATTGATTTTAAGGACTTTAAACGCGTATGTGAAGTATATTACTCTGAGTCTTTGGAAAAAAATAGTGTGTGTAAATTCAAATGAATAATTATGCTGTGTGTTAAATGAAATAATTCGAAACAGAATAAGGGTCCGCTTCAATGATTCGGCCATTGAACAACAAGGCGCAACAGTTGGTTGTAGCATGAGAGGATCGGCTGGCATACCAACCATGTTAAAAGCTAGAGCGACTACTAAATAATAGAAAATATAGAGACTTCGGAACGGCGTGTCCTAACCGTTAATTGCTGAACGCATGTACTCGCTTATCATATAATGTAAAAAGGTTGGTGCTCTTTTTTACAACACAACTCGGTACAAGAATCATAGATACTTCATCGTACATCCAAAGTTACTTAGTATAAGTAAGCAATTTATAGCAATTGAGCATATATATTATATTAGACATTGCTGAAGAAACATTTTAGGCGGCGTCATGGCCATCTATATCGGATATTTCGTCACGTTCAACAATACAGCCGGAAAATCGGAAACCCTTTTGAAAGTCAATAAAAGTACAAATCTATGATTAGAGTATATCTTTTGCTATACAATCTGCATGCACTAACCAAGTATCAGAGAGCATTACTTGTAAAGAAATCAGCGCAAACGGTCCACAATGTTATCTGATACGTACCATCAAATAAAAACATTAACAAAATATAGTATCTATTGATCGCTAAGGAGACTCAATAACACCAAGTTCCGACCACTTCGTCTCCATTGTCCGCCTACCTTGTACTTCAAGTAACTTACACAAATGTTGTGATGAACCTTCAATACGCCGGCACTCTGATCTGACGAAACAAAATTATTTCCGCTGTTTTTGTGAACACCTTGCCACATTCAACAATCAACTATTACTCTCCATAATGTTATCCAACGTCACCGACAAATGCGACGTCAATGCAGCCACCCATTCATCCGCAGCTCAATGCGCTGGAGTCTTCAGAGCCGCGTCTGTGGCCACCTTGAAGCTCATTGAAACCATGCATTAAAAAAATCCAGCGAATAAATCAAACGAATCGGTCTCACTTTACCACGATGCACCACAAGAAACTGCACTCTTAGGTGAGTTCGACTGTTGTCTTTGTTGGATAACCGTTCTTTTGTTCTACCTCGAAGCGTGCGCTCAGATTGTCGTTTACTGTTTCGAGCACCCGTTCCAAATGAGCTTCGCACCGATGAAGTTTACGAAGTAAAGGGCACTGCGAGCACTGAAGCCAGCCTAAAACGCCTGTCTTCTCTAGCGGATACCTGAAGATGATCGCCAATCTTCGGATCTTAAGCCATCAGCTCTTGCAGAATCAGAGAGATCTAATAGAAGATCTCGCAGCCCAATATCAGCCCACAAAACGGGACAGCGATCAGCGCTTCTCGCGAATCAGCGCGCGCCATGATAACCACAGCGAGGCTAAGTGTATGCTGTGGGAAGGGTAGCGAAAATTTTCAAGGGCTTACTCGATCTAGTGATTCGTCGTCTCTGTATGCTTTCGGTTTGGATACGGTAGGGCATTTGGAGGGGGCCCCTTTGACTTCGTTTTTTCGGGACGTTTTTGATGGTCGTAGAACGCGTGTGATGCCCATGTAGCAATAAGCCTATCGAACCACTAAAAATAGGGGTCCTTAGCGTGGGTCCTTCGACGTATTTCTTCGCCAATCTATTGTTATCTTAAAGAGCAAGCTTTCAACAAAGGTAAGCTCATCAGAATGCTTTGACCAGGCGACTAGGTGAAGATCGATCCGCTCGGAGCGTCCAGAGTCTAAAACTCTGATGGTACTAGGGCCAACAATCAAATTAGTTCAGTGAAAAACTAGAAGACTTATTTGGTTATCATTGGATAGTAGGTGAGACGTTCTTCTGCCACGCAAACGGTTTGAGGAAAGAAACCGGTAGAACTTTTTAACGTGTATTGCAAAAAGAAAAGTTGGGTTTTTAGGATAGTCGATAAGGTATCGCCCCCTTACGAGAATTGGCAGGCAGCCAGTAAATCAAATGTATAGGATACTGGCGATTCTTAGTCATTGATATGATACGAATATCTATCTGGGACGACTCATACAATAATAATGAGATAGCAACATATGCTCTACTACGCCAACCGTTTCTTAGTGACAGATATATCGAATTAAAAAATGTTCGATTGTTTTTTATAGTATGATTTTTTCAATATCTTTTTTTCTAACTTTTGCTGAACACTATTTAAACAGAAATTGTGTGTTAAAAAATCGATTATAGTTTGAGCTGGGTTCCCGTTATAGTATTATAGGGATATATCTTTAATGACATTCAACCCTATAATTACTTCATTCAAAAAGCTATTATTATTTTTTCTAGAAGTTGAATCTAACTGAAAACGATTTTCATCTATAAAAAAATGGTGCCTTATTCGGGTCGAGCTTCTATCTAGTCAAGAGATTGATCCTGTTTCTTTCTGCACATTAAGCTCTGGATATCGTTGTAGCCGACGCTCAGTTTTGAGTGCTCCATGACTTCCGACTTTGGCGTTCTTCGGACTTTACTGTCAGCCAAACCATGGGGTTTGAATTAAGTGCAGTGCTTTTTCCTACGCTCCATTGATTCACCTCTTGTTTTTTGCCAAATTTACTTAGCGTAAAGTAACTTAGCTTGTCATAACTTATTATTAACACCTTTCTGCACGGTAAATAACAGATCCGTGAAAAATGAACACATGATAAGTGTCTTTAGAAGCTGTTACTATGCGTGTTCTATATGCAAAGGTTTTCATCACAATGACGCAGCGAGTATTAATGTAAACAGTATGAAACGAGCCATACATTAAGGAATCCTTAGAACAGGATTCAGTCATTGAACTATGTCCAATAAACGAATCAACGAGCCATTAGTTTCTACCTCATTGAAGTGCATTAATCCGTCAGGGATTGATTTCCTGTAGGTCAGAATGGGCGAAATATTGCCGCTGTTGAACTCGTTCTACCGCTTATTATAACAACAGTAATAGAAAGTAGTTATCCGTGTTTGCCGCAGTGAAATGTCTATTCGATGCATTACTCTTAATGTAACATATTCAAATATTCATTAAACTACTGTCTTTTTCAGCCCTTGCTCTCTGCTAAACAAGGCATTTTGCCTCAACGTGGCGATTACAAGCATGGCAGCTCTATATCATTAAAAGTGAGTGTGGGCCTTCAATCGATACTCTGTCTAATTTCCCAGCGGTTCACACGGTGTGCTGGCACCCCTGCGGCACCCCACACGCCCTCCTAAGTAGAGCTGACGACGGACAATCGGCACTGGTTCTGTCTATTTCCACATGTCTACTCTATTACCATGAGCTCCTGTCAGCCAATTTGTGCCTTTAGCTATGTCAAACCCCGCGTCTGCTTCGACAGGAGCCTTTCGAGAACCGCCTCGGTCTTGCGTGAAGTGCCCGCCATGAGCTGGCCCACACGCCCCACGCCGAGAGAAGGACGGAGAAATACAACACGAAACGTAGGAGAACCATAAGAGAAAAAAGAACGACGGACTGGGAAAGAAAATTGACTAGTACTCATATCTTCTCGTACGCGCCAGAACAAGAAAGCGCAACTAACCTACTTAGACGGCCACGAAAGGCTGCCGGGCCGCATGACCCTGGACAGTATTGAGGTTAAGGCCAATTCGGGTTTTTAAGGTGGTAAAAGCTTATTCTGAGAAAGCCCTGCATTTCGAGCACGATGGCTCGTAGCAGTAGCATTTTGCCTCCAAATCTGACGTGATCATAGACCCAGGTGACGTTTGGAATACAAGTTCCTCGCTCTGAATGAGAGAGAGAGCGTTACTCCTGCTCTTTCTCTGAGCAATCAAAAACAACGTGAGAACAGCATGTGAACAAGAGGAGCAACCAGCACTAATACAGAATGCTACGACGGCCTGTCCTGTCGCCCTCGAAAACCTTGTATCTGATATAGATTCAGTTGAAAGCAATAGAGTTCGAAGGTGGACGCGGGTTGTCCCTTGATTCGTAACTGGTTGTCTACGGTGGTGGTAACTACGACGACAGAAATGGCCGATACTTTTGAGGTACCTATATGAGGCCGCCGACGTTCGGGGCCTGCCGTAAGGATATCGACAATTGACATCGGCAACCACGACAATCTAAAAATGAAGGACGAGTCAAAAGTCTTGTGCAGACGCCCATGGGCGAAGCTATCACGCAGATTCGATTAGAGCGGGACACAAAGAGAGAAACATTAATCGATTCCGAATGCGGTTACTGTGTTCAGGGTGAGAAACCGCTGTTGATCCCTACTCCATCAGTGTCCTTATTACTTTAGTATGATCCCTGCCACGCATTCAGTGCCAAAAATCAAAATACGAAAGAGTGTCCAGGAACCCTTAAATCCCTGCAATCCACCTCGTCCTATACTCGTCCTATACAACTCTCAGCAATTGCTGCTTTTATTGAGGCGTTGTAAACCAACTTCACACTTCAGCATTCAGTCGCACGCACGCTAATGCTGAGGGCTCGTTTACTTTGAGATAGGACACGCGCGTGTTGAACTCTCAACTCTCTGAGAATTGTTGTTTGCGTTTTCTTTCAGGACAGAAAGCTTATATTTATGTGACTTTTGCTTTTTATGATGACCACACTTTCACACGACATAACCAGCGATTACATTAATTATAAGTAAGCGATACAACGCGGACGGATCGCAGTATAGTATCCCAATATCTGCAGTCTAGAACCTAATCAGGAAACGTGTTCCATACCATAATATCTCCTTTGCTAATCGATTAAAGACAAGACCCATTTGCTAGTCTTGTCGTTTATAACTTACGAAAAGAAGCGGCCGGTGGCTTGGAGCTCACAAAAGGAAGTACCCGAAATGTGTGAGCATGAGCACGAACTGACCCCCCTTCCCTACCTTCTGTGCACTACTATGAACAGTCAACAAGCCCTCACATTTGATGATAGATTGCATCATCACCGGACCAGTTGGTCTACCGACCGGATCTAGACCGGCCGCTGGGTTAGCAGTTGGTTCACAGGTTACTGACACATCGTAGGGACAAAGACAAAACGATTCAGGTATAGCTGTCGGGTCAGGCACACAACACAAGATTCGGATAGCACGTAGGTCACCACGAGTCTGATCAAAACATGTGAATGGTCAGAGGCGGTTGATGCTGCTAAGGTCGATAAGGAAAGTTGGCCAGAGGCAACGCAACACACTACGCAAGGCAAGAAGGAACTTCCTAGTAGTAAGTTTGCAAACTCTTCGATCACTTGGTGATAGCTGGGCAGTGGCCACTGGTAGTCAATATCAATAACAACAACAATGCTGCGTGCCTCATTACTACTACTTGGGAATTTCTAGTTGGTCATCAGATTGACCAGTATAAAGATGATTTCTGACGGGTGGTTTCGAAGAAATAAACGTTTATTGATTAGGACATGTTAGGTCAAGTTCGAATAGGTTGAGTTCGGTTCTTAGGTGGACTAGGACAAGTTAAGCTGAAAACTTTTGGACAGTGCCCGGAGATCACACGAGGAGCAAAGTTGCTTGGCTAAGAGGAAGGTTAAGAGGAAAAGCGATATGCGAATACTCTTACTGTAACTTCTTGTATTCCTTGCTTATACAGATTCCGATGTGTTAAACAAGAAAAGTGGTTTACAGTAATACCCCTGGGGACTAGTTGTCTTTGAGCTGCGGCTCTCCCACGCAGAAGAAAGTTATCTCTCTTTCACGCCAGTAGTCTTAAAATCTACTAAATCTCCCTGGTAGCATCATCTCCTTCCTTCTCGACACGATGAACTCCAGTGGGCAATCCAACTTCGAAAGAGCTGAGTACCGCCTAAGCGTTCGTATTTCTTCATGGACTATCTGCGGAACGAGTTTCAACTGAGATAAAAGTGAGTGATCAAACGATTCGTTTCGAGTACATCTAACCCAGAACGGAGCATCTTGCATCAGACTAGATTTCAAAGGCGAAACACTTTTTTGGTTCCGTTTCGATTCGTCATAAGGGACTTATATACGCCGGCATCGTGTGGCTGCTCCAGGACCACTTTTCCGTCTTTCAATGGCTGCCAACGAAGGATCAGGATTGAAATCCCGCATTACATCAAACTCAAGGCGCGTCACGTTCCTTTCAGGGAGTCTCGTCTTGTCTTTAGGTCCATCGCAGATCATCTCGCTGAATACTATCCGAAGCCACTGCGTAGGTAGCCATTACTATGACCGCAGGCCTTGGAAGAGCGAGGAAGAGGCATAGCGGACTAGGCTTGTCTTTCCCACTGCATGCGTCCGTTCGTCCTTAGCAGTAATCACGAGGATGAGTAAACTTACTAGAACGACTAGAGTCGGACGCGGCATTTCACACCACCCTGTTTGTCTGTGTGAAGTGAAGGAATGAAGTGCTCATGATGCGCCGACGAGGCTCATGTGAAGCTCGTCCATAGTTCGTGTCTCATGTTGGCCCCCTTCTTGGTTGGTTCTCGCGGGTTACTTTATACTCGTACGGCTTGTAATCTCCCATCAACTGCATCCCAGTGGCGACACGGACTACCTCACATGTGAAATCACACCGGAACTTCATCCTCTAGGGAGCACCAAACGCCAAGATAGGTCAGCATTGCACGGCTCGATTTGTTCTTCTCGTTTGTTATGATGATTCGCGACCGTATCGCGACGATTGGCGAGATCTGGCGTTGCAAAAAAACAACCCCCGGATCCAAGGCCAAATTCCCCTCTTCCCCCGACAACACTGCAACACGTCAGCTGGCAACAGCAGTACATTGACTTCTCTCGTTGTCCCATTGCACCCCCGAACTCTGACTGCCATCCGCATTGTCTGCTCTGACTTCTTTACCGCCAATCGCAACTCCCTTTTATACTTTATTCAATGCTGTTCCTCACCCCTCATATCCCTATATATATATATATGTCTTTCGATTTTCCCTCTCCCTTCTTTTTATCAGCGTCGCTCGTGAGCTGCATCACTCGAACGAGTTTGCCTCAACTAAGTGTACTAGCAATACTACTCAACTGCAAAATGAGGGCCTATATTGCATAATCGTTCATGTATACGATGAACTGTACATGGTATGGTCGTGTGTTTGTATTTGATGCGCAAGTGTGTGAATGCACTTTTGGCCGTAGGCAGCACGCTTCGTCTCCAGACTCATGATAGCGTGATGGCGCAACTGGCACTGTCACGAACGGCCAGCCTTTTAAAATGTTCTATTTCCACTGCGGCGCTCTCATAGTCAAACGATGAACACCACGACGCCAATATCGCTGCTAGCTGTCTTTAAGCCAGCGTCTACTTCGTAGGCTGTGATGGAACTGGCCACCGGACATGAGAGCAAGGCAAGTACAATACCCAGTGGAATTCGGCACGGCGCGCGTTCCTTCATCGACCGTCAAAACCCGCTAGCGGTGTAAAGTCGTACGGTGTGATCCAACTGTGGGAATCAGCTGATGGAGTTGCCGCCGGGCCATCGAGAGTTGTCATTTCAAAACTACGTGGGCTGGACCGGGAAGACGAGCGGGTTTCGGACTCCGGCGCCGACGAATGCTGATCGATGTTTAGATATTGGAATGTGCAGCGATACATCCGACCACTTCGGAGAGGAGGGATTATTTATATGAACTAAGGAGATCAGGAAAGAAGAACAGGGAAAGAAATAAAGCAACAAGTGACTAAATGAGAACTCAACGAACTGACAACAGCCAGATTCCCGCCATATTTCGTGATATTGAAGCCCTCAAACGCTGAGAGAGGACCACAGGATAAAGGACAGAAAAACAAAGAGATAATATTAAGCCATATGTATTTAGGTTGGGAACGCACTGGTTGTATCTAGCAGCCACAAAGTGATATAGAAGGAAAGGAAATCAGAATGTATCAAGTATCTCACGTGCCTAAATACCTCAGAAGTTAACATACGGCAACGTCCAAAGTTAGTGAGCCGATAAGTAATTAGCATAGATTTAAGCGTCGAGCAAAAAAATCAAACTATTCAAGACAAACAAGAAAAAGTCAGTGATGTTGCATTTATATTTTCAAAGAGTACTCAGACCAGTTACGTTAAGATATACTTTGCATATGAGGTCGTGTGTGCGCACGTAGATCGGCCTTAAGGTAACCTACCGAGTTGCTCTCAGTAGGTATCCACTTAATGAACCAGTTGAACAGTAACCTCTGAATACAATTATACAAGAAGATACGGGCTCATTTGTGCGGCTGTATCGGTGTGAATGGGGATGTAAAAAGTAGCCGGCAAGTTTAGGTGTAACGCCTTATATACGGTTATTCAAAGGAACAGTATAACAACGTACAAATAAAACCTTCAGCCGGTGATTTCCTAGAATATCTTGTGATATCGGCTCTTTCGTCTCCGCTATAAGCTATGATATAATACGAAGTCGTTTATACAATATCTAGTGTTCGTGATCACTTTCAATTCATCTACACTCTCGATGTTTACAGTATGTCTAGATACAAGGGAAGTCCACTGCGTGTCTACTTCAGGGTCCCTTGGTCCCGCCTAAACTACATAATAGGACTTTAATATCGTCATCGACTCGAACAAAATCAATGTCCGCACTATGATTTAGTGTGAGAACCCCGAGTGGAGTTAGTCAGCCAGTCAATTGAAGTCGCATCGCACCCCACTCCCTAAAAATCGCTCTGCCGTCTCCTCGACAAGGGGCTCTTTTGCCATTACATTTACAACTCCAACAGCGCGCTTCATACATGGCAGAGCCATATCCGCTCTTCACATTTGCTCTCTGGATCTCTGGTGCCAGGCTACGGTGCAGACTCCGACAAATAGCAAAGAGGTGCCAGGCGAACGATGTATAAGACTGCTGCAAGGCATCGTTACCCTAGTTTCCCTCGATTTCACCCGTTCCCCCAGGCCTTAGTGCTCCCGCTACCTAACAGGACAATGAATAGTAGCAATCCACTACCGGTTCGGAACATATAAGGATATACTGTGTCCACTCGTTCTGAAACTCGGCAGTACTCATGTACTCAGCATCATGTAACACGAAAACGAACAACCTAGGGAAACAGAAAAATTTTATTGCAGTCTGACCGCCTTCGCCTATGATACTTGCAGTTCTTCTCGTGACGAGAACCATTCATTGGCTTATATCGCCTGGACACTCAATAATACTATATATATATATATATATATATATATAGTATATATATATATATATATATATATATATATATTTATTCACAAGTTTGGACAAATTGGACTAGCTGTCGATGA